TTGCCTAGTCGCAAATAATCAGATTCATACTTTCATTTGCTGAGAACCTTTTTACAGTGTAGATTTTAATCTGACTGCTTGCTTTAAGGTGACAATGCTCATTGAGGGGAATTTATCAAAACTGGAGCAGCTGTGCATGGCATCAAATTAGCTTCTCTTTCATTTTCAAACCTTAACTGAAGAGAGAAGCTGATTGGTTGCCATGGGCAACTGCTCCATATTCTGTTTGCTCCAGTTTTGATACATTCTCCCCATTATGTCCAAGTTGATAAAAAGGAGTAGTTTGTGAACTGGCTTCTTTTAGTTGCAGTCAGACATATCTATAACGTCCACAGTTGCACACTATACATTATTTGAGCACTGTTATTAAAGCGTAAGTTCAGTCGGTCAGTAAACAAAAAAAGTGCTGCATTGGTGTTTGCCATAATGTAATATGCACAGCATTTTAGCACATTATGGCCAACTTACCTGGTAAAACGATCTCCTCCAGCACTTCGCTGCCGCTCTCGCCTGTGGTGCCATAGTCTTCCGGTTATTTCCCGGGTTCGGTGTCTTTGGCCTCTTGATTGGCTAGCCAGCATGCGTGTGGGAGTAATTCTCAACATGCTGGGTATGTGCGCTGAGCTGAGCACACACCAAAAATAGAAAAATAGTTGACAGGCAGGTAGGAGATTTTTGGCAGAACAGACTTACACAGTCTCTTCAGCTATAAAAACCTGCCTGGCAGCATTAAAAAAAACAAAAAACAATGCTTTACTTCCGCTTTAAGCAGTGCTGGCCAATGGGTGGCGCAGTTATCTCATGCAACATACAGTATATGTCACCAACACATCTCAGGTCCAGTTGAAACATTTTTAGGTCTAACCACTCACATACTGTTACTGGTATAAACAGATTTGCTAACCGTATCCAGTATACCTCAAATCCAAATCAACAGTTTACTTCTGTAAAAGTCATACACCATGAAAACAAATACCATGATATTTAGCAGTTAGCCATAACATCATGACCAATGAGAGGTGACGTGAATAACAGTGATTATCACAAATACCATGATATTTAGCAGTTAGCAATAACATCATGACCAATGAGAGGTGACGTGAATAACAGTGATTATCTTGTCATAATGGCACCTGGGAGTGGGCGAGATATATTAGGCAACAAGTGAACATTTTGTGCTTGAAGTTGATGTGTAGGAAACAGAAAAAATGGGCAAACGTGAGGATTTAAGTGACTTTGACAAGGACCAAATGGTGATGGCTAGACAACTGGGTCAGAGCAACTCCAAAACTGTAGCTCTTGTGAGATGTTCCCAGTCTGCAGTGGCCAGGATCAAAAGTGGTCCAAGGAAGGGTCATGGACAACCAAGGCTCACTGATGTACCTGGGGAGCAAATGCTGGCCCGTGTAGTCCGATCCAATAGAAGAGCTACTGTTGTATATGGAGCTGCGTAGCCGCAGACTGGTCAAGGTGGCCATGCTGACTTGTGTCCCCCGGCAAAAAGTGCCTACAATGGGCATGTGAGCAACAGAACTGGATCACAGAGCAGTGGAAGAAGGTGGCCTGGTCTGGGAAATTAAATTTTCTTTTAAATCATGTAGATGGCCGGGTGCATGTGTGTTGCTTACCTGGGGAAGAGATGGCACCGGGATGCACTATGGGAAAAAGCAAGCCAGTGGAGGCAGTGTGATTCTTTGGGTAATGTTCTGCTTGGAAACCTTGGGTCCTGCTATTCATGTGGCTATTACTTTGACCCGTAACTCCTACCTAAACATTGTTGCTGACCAAGTACACCGCTTCATGGAAACTGTATTCCCTGGCAGGGGCCTCTTTCAGCCGGATAATGCACCCTGTCACACTACAAAATGGTTCAAGAATGGTTTGAGGAACACAACAAAGAGTTCCAGGTGTTCACTTGGCCTCCAAATTCTCCACATCTCCATCTAATTGAAGATCTGTGGGATATGCTGTAAAAACCAGTCCAATCCATGAAGGTCCCACATCAAAACTTACAGGACTTAAAGGATCTGCTACTGACTGCTTGGTGGCAGACATCACAGCAAACGTTCAGAGATCTTTGTAGGGTTTTTTTTTTAAGTACTTAAAACATTATGTTATCATTATGAAAAAAATCATCTTAGGAGGGGAGTGTCAGAGCAACGCCTCAGTGGTCCAGTAAGCTACAGAGCGAATGCATAAAAGATGATTGGTTTCTTGCAGCTCTGTTGATCGAGAACTGAGCAATCACATATTGCTGATTGCTCAGTTCCCGGTCTTCTCCCTGCAGAGAGTAGTCAGTCACTGCCCCCACTGTAATTCCCCTTTCCTTCTGTGTTCCTCCAGTGCGGACTGGAGGGAAAGATGGGGGAGGGGAGGGCAAAGCCAGCTGTCAAACAGGCAGCGGGGTGGATCCCAACAATATTGTCGGGATCTATCCCGGGTGCATCGTGGCTCTGCACTGTCAGCATATAGTGGGCAATAGTCCACTATATACTGAGCTTTGGGTGACAGGAGAACATTAGTAAATGTCCTCCTGTGACCCAAAAGAGCTCTCTTTTCAAAGCTTGAGATAAGCCTACTGGCTATGGTTAGGTGACTCCGCAACTCCAGGTCTTCCAAGAGAGATGCCCAAAAGGACCCAAATATGGAAACGGTGGGTGTCAGACCAGTCAGGTAGCAGAGTCCATACAAAGTTTAATGTTTACAATTCAGTCATACTGATAATACAGCCAAGGCATCTCGAGGGGAAACACATCCCCCTTCCGCTGGTTTTAGAACAATGAAAGCTCTTTTGTAAGAAGACCACCAGCCTTCTGCAGTGCACAAATGGTGAGCAGCTGGCCATACATTGGATGAATTTCTTCCAGTTATTGATGGAATTTGCTCAGTGTCACCACCCTTCTGTCTGGCTACTGTCACTGTTTACTTGAACATTTTGCTCCTTCAATTTTCTGATTGAAGGATGCCAATCAGGTGCCGTCACTGTTTGGGTATTTAGATAGTGGCATGCCCACCACTGTCAGAATACAAAGCACACATGGGAGATACATCCATCACAACTGTTTAGTGTTGACGGAGGAGTCTGGCCAGCTTAAAAGTGGACCTTATGGAGGCACATGTCCCCAGCTCTTGCTTGTTGCTCCAAGGGCTTCTGAATTCATTCATGATATGATCTGTTCCTGGATGTGTCCATTCTGCATTTTAGAACAGAAGTTGCAGAAATGAAGATTGCAATTTCTCTTGCTTCCTGATGGGTCGCTGGTATGAAGGAGAACAGGCTATCTTTTTTTGTTGGATGAGCCAGGGCTATTTTAATTGTAGACTTTCTCCTGTGTCCACAAGTACGGGAAATGTCACACTGCGACAGGCAGACTATCCTTGCTGAGATGATATACAAGATCAGCACTTGATAAATCCACTAGATTAGGAGATGGCTGTGACCTCAAACACTTTTTAACCTTTAGCTGAAAGTAAGAGATGCCATCCATTCTCTGCACCTGTGCTGGTTTAACTAAATCCAGTCTATGAAAATCGGGGAGTTTAAATTAGAACTGACTGCTGTAACAATGTTTAAAGCGTTGCTGAAGAACTGATCTTATTTTGCCACTTGGGAACATACAATCTGACTTTGAAAAGTATGGCATGCATAGACAATGTAATATAAAATTCAGGAGCCAGCTTTTCCAGTCTAGCCAGCCAGCATGATGTTTTAGAGGGTGACGCCAGATAATCAGCTACATACAATCTCCTAGAAACTGCTTTCCTGCCAAAATAAATGTAAAATATTTACCCTATATGCTAGGGGAGTAGCTACCTCTTCTGTTCTATATACCTAGATAACTCAATGAGGGGTTCTGCAGACTCTGTGCCACTGCCCAAGCCTGCCCTTTGGACTACTAGTGACAGTAACCACTGTGGGGACTGCTATGCTGAGATCTGTCCTTCTCGAAACTAACCAACACAATCCCCTACTTCTTACCTGCCCCTCATGACTAAAATTCCTGAAATATTCATGCTTTACAGGTGATAGTCCACAAAAGAAAACACTACAGCTACAGTCTGATTACATTCAGCTCCTATGTAATTATGCTGTATAAAAACAAATTTAGAGCATTTCTAATTCGTTTCAGCTTTAAAAGGAAAAAGTGAACCACTTGGCTCAACAAAAATCGACTGAATCGGGTGGAAAATTCTCGGCAGAACAGTGACGGTGTCCTATCAGATGTCACTGTTCGGGTATTCAGACAGTCTGAATACAGTAACTGTAATGGAGTGTTCTCCATCCTTGCCATTCAGTGTGGATGGAGAAATCAATTGACAGGGCTGAATGAAAGGAATCTAAACCTGTTTGGATAGCTTAAGTGGTTAGCATTCTTGCCTTGCTGCTCTAGTTCCAGGGGTTGAATCCCACCTTGGACACTAGCACCATGGAGTTTGAAGGGTAGCCTCATGTTTGCGTGGGTTTCCTCTGGCCACTCCACTCCAGTTCCCTCTCACAATATCCCCCCACAAAATAATGCTATGTTAATTGGCTTTATGTGAGTATGATGGGAACATTAGACTGTAAGCTTGTCAAGTGGCAAGTGTTGTCCAATAAAAAAACGATAAATGTATGTACAATGCTGGAACACTTTTGTTATTGATTGCTTTTCTTATACAATACAAGTAAATAGACTAAGCTCTACCAGAATGATTTCACTGAAAGCCATGTACTCTTTTTAGATAGTTTATCTTGTAATAGTTCATTTTAAAGCAGCTTTACAACAAAGATGTTGGCTTCGTGATCTAATATATAGAGGGCACACCGTCACATATGTACAGTATATGAAATCTTATCATGAAACTATGACACGACTAACGTTTGCTTCAAGAAAACGAAAGTGAGAATAAATACTGCCCTTAAATATATGAATTTAAATATAATATATGCTATAAATAAATCTAAGCACCATACAGCCATTAGGCAGAACACATCCTTATGTCTTATTTTTCTTCTTTAGGTGAGCCCTGTTGCTGGTTTGGTGTCCATACTAAAGAAGCGTACTGACAGTGAGGGAGAGCAGACTTTTCAGTCTTCACAGAAACAGGCAAAGAGGAAAGTGCGGTTCGAAGAAACAGACGATGCACTTGAACAAGGTAGGTTCTTGGTGTGCAAGAATAAGACTGTCCTCATTGGACTGCTGGATAAAAGGCAACAGAAGATCCTCCTTGGAAATCAATTGCTCGGCAGTTTATTTAAAGTAAAGCTGTAAAAAATGTTTAATGTTTCTATAGGGGCACTATGTCGTTTAATTGATCTTTTAACGCCTTTTTTTGTGCGACCTAGAGTTTCCGTGTGTTGGCCTCATGATGCAGAGTTTTGGACTGCTTTACCGCCAACCCATTGTCCAATACAACATCTCATTGGCTAGTAGCGATGGGATAGTGAGGCAATTGAGGGGAATCTAAAACCCTGAAGCTTTGAATCGCCTGTGTGGAACGTACAGCCCAGTCCTGGAGATTGCCTTTGTTCTAGAACAGCATTTCTCAACCTATTTTAATTCATGGCTCCCTTTTAAAAGTATGCAAACTCTTGAGGCAACCCAGTCTAAAACTTAAAAGTAAAAATGTTTAATTATGTGTGGTTCCCCCCAAATTCTATACCACACCTATATCCTAAATAGGGGTCTGGTATGGATTTTTAGGGGCACCCCATGCTAAAAATAACAAAGAAAAACAATCTGGAGTTCCCCCTTCACATCAGAGTCTCCCCCCCTTTTTCACATCAGGAGCCACCTACCTCATAGCCTTAACTAAAGTGTAGCTGCAGCAGCATGATAAGGCCTTCTGACCTCTTCTGAATGCTGGGGGAGGTCCTGGATGCTACTCGCTCTGGATTGGCATCTTGCATCTGCATGATGCTAGTGGCCAGCTTGTCTGCACCATGGAAATGCATGACACTTGAAAAGTTGAAAGCACCCCTGTCAAAGCCAGAAGGCACCCTGGTTGAGAAAAGCTATTCTAGAATATAGCTTGTCTACCATACTGTCAAAGTAGGGGTTGTTGTTCTACATGTAATTTAACCTAAGAAGATTATCATGTAGTGTGAGAATATTTTCCTTTAACCCCCATTTGTCAAAGGACCATTGGGCTATCCCCTGCAATGGGCATCCTTACTGACCCATAAGAATGTGCTGGAGGGGTTCATTCAGAGGCCAATAGGTCCTTGCTTCTTATTAATGTTACTTGAGCAGTAAGAGATGACAATTTTATGAACAACTCTAGAATAATTACATATAAACATCTCAGAACCTCTGTGGGATCTGTGCGGGGAGATTTTGGCAGAGGCTGCAGATCCAAGAATAGGCTTGTAAATATGCCAGTAGAAGAATAAAAATGGGTTCTGCTTCCCAGAAGACAAACTCAACATTTTCTGATGGCATGTTGCCATTCTACAATCATGTGTGGTTGTGACCCAGGTCAACTATGATTGTACAACTGGCAGTACTAACTTGGATGGATGTGCAAAATGTATTTAGATTTCAAAAGGCACAGTTTGTGGCACTCATTTATTTTATTTTTGGAATGCTCTGTCAGTTATACACGTTTTAAGGGTTTGTACAAATAACATTTTACACTATCCCCTGTTGTTACACTTGCATTCCACTCCTTTTTTATCCTTCCTGTATGTTAAGTGGGAGTATTGGCATGCTACTGTGACACGAGCAGTATTGTAATAAGAAACAAAACCTGCAATTCACATGAGCTGAAAATAAAATTGTTCAGGAAATTGTGTATAGCAACAGTGTGCAGAAACCCTCAGTTTCCAAAGAGGGAACATTTAATCTTTATTCACACCTAATGTTGGCATGAACCTACAAAATCATGCAGCAGGAACCCCAAATAATTATTTTGGAAGCAGCAGCTGTCACCTGTTTCAAATAATGATTAGGTGACAGCAGCTGCAGCAGTCCACCGGCACTCCACATGTTATCGTATGTGATGCAATTACATGCGATTAGGGATAGATCACTGTCACTGGATGTACGGTAGATGTGTCATTCTGTTCCTTACCACATATAATGCGGAGTGCCAGCGGACTGCCACTTTCAAATGCTGCTGTTGTCACCCGATCATTAACTTGAAAGGGTGACAGATGCCGCTTCTAAATGGCATATTTGGGTTTCCTGCTGCAGGAATTTGTAGGTTCTCAAACCAAACCTTAACATTAGGTATGAATGAAGCCTTACACTTTTGTTTAAAGGAGAATTATGAGGCGAGTGATTTTCATTCAGCCTCATAATCTGAGCCGACCTGTGACAATGAGACTGTCACAGGTCAGCTCAGTGGATCGGGAAGTGAGCGAAAACATACCGGCGCTTGCTCACTTCTCGATCCTGTGCCGGCAGAGAGCCGTGACAGAGGAGGGACTGGATTCCCCGCTCCGATCCTCCAGCGCTGACTGGCGGAACGGACGGGGGAGGGGTGGGTACAGCTGGCTCTGCCTCTAGATAGGCAGAGCCAGCTGTCACTCACACAGCTGGGCGGATCCAGACATAATTGTCGGGATCCGTTCCGGCTGCGGCATCTCAGTATACCGCGAGCTGTAGCTTGCGGTATACTGAGCTTTGGGTGACGGGAGGACGCTAGTTTGTGTACTCCCGTTACCCTTAGGAGAACTATGGGGAAAAGCCCCGACCCCATAGTTTTCCTTTAAAAAGCTATCTGTAGAATGAAATGTGAGAACCTTAAATTATAGAATGGGGTGTGTAGCACGTTATATCAATTATCAAAAATAGAGTTATTCTTTAAAGCTTAAATGGCATTTAAATAAGTAAGTATGCACACAGAGTTAATAGTGAGCTAGAAACTTCAATGGGAAGGTGCTCGGAAGCAGTATACCTATGCTCCATATTCAGTGTATATACATACTGGGTTTTTGTAAACATCAAATGATCTTTAATAGAAATCTAAAACTGTCACTTTGCTCATTCAAATTGCAGGATTGTGAATTTAAGTGTAACACTCCGTTTATTAGACTATATACATATTTAATCAATTTAGGGTTGAGTTGACAGTATAGAAATAGCCAGTGTGTTTTGGGGGCAGATACAAATCCCCCCTTCATCAGGGCTTACTCAAGTAGAAAAAGGCTTGAAATTGGATACCATTTGTCCAATGTGTGAGAATGCAGAGAGCTCCTCAGCTGCTATTCAGGGCAAAGTAAAATGTTCACATGGTAGTCCACTCCCTCCATTGTAGATACTTGTCTCAATTGGGCTCCTCTATCTCCCATTCTGGTAGTCTGAGCCCTATGGAGTACCTGTACTTCTAGGTATGTGGAAGCATGTGATCCTTTCCGCTTCCTATTGTGCCTGAGCAGGCCGGCCTGAGAGCAATAGGTTCACATTAGGGTGCATTCACGCCAAAATCAGAAGGAAATCGCAAGTGAATGGAAGGTATGTAGACTTGCAGTTGTACTTTTTCATTTCCTTCCGATCCATTGTGATCAGTTTGCCAAGGGATGCTAATGGAAGGGAACTGAAAAATGAATGGGTGTGAATTTGGGCTAGTTTACACCACTCTGACCGGTTGCAATACGTTAAGTTGCGCTGAAAAAAAAGTAGAACATGCACTACTTTTTTGCATCATAACGCAACGGATCCGGTGTGAACTAGCCCCATTCACACCTGTTCATTTTTGGTGCCCTCTCTGTAGCATCCATTGAAAAACTGATTACAACGCAGCGGATCTGGTGTGAATGGGCCCTAAAGGATCAGTCTGCCCAAAATAGACATTTCACTTTTTGGTAGATGATGGAGAGTAAAGCCGGCCATACATCTATAGATTATCTGCAGATTTTCTATGGTCAGATGGAAAAAGTGCAACAGATTCCTCCATCTACACTAAACTGTGTGGATGGAGGAATCTCCTAATGGGCCAAGCTTTAGTATCTTGGCAGTCGGCCCCGCTGGCTCTCAAATTACCTGAACAATGCCTGTATCTAATCAGATTGTTCAGGTATTTTGAGAGCCAGCAGGGCCGACTAGCAAGATACCGAAGCTTGGCCCAGCTGGAGATTCCTCCATTCACACAGTTTAGCGTAGATGGAGGAATCTGTTGCACTTTTTCCATCTGACCATAGAAGATCTGCAGATAATCTATAGGTGTATGGCCAGCTTTAAACTACCTGACATTTCCTTACATCTCTGGAAGACTCTATTAGTAAGTTCTCCAGAGTGGAGTTCCTGGGTCTGCACACCCGTTATGGCCTTTTATGCAGAACTCCCACTCTAGTTATATGTATTTGTGCTTTATATGATTGAAAATGCAGTAGAAGGTGCAGGTGCATGTAAAGGTTTGCTGAAACACCCAAAACTCCAAGGTGGGCAGAAGTAGAGGTATGAAGGGAATTCTGGTAAACATATAAGAATCCAGGAGTTGAGTCAACCCACCAGGCTGCACCTATAGTGTGAACATTACTTTTGAGTGGACTGGTTTAAGTAGTTGGGGAATATTAACTTACATTGACAACAATAGAAATGGTTCATGGTTAGGAACAACCTTTTTTTAGGTGTTTGGGCTTCCAGGCTTCTAGAATTTGTCCTTGCATTGAGCCTAGGGCTTACAGCATTGCCCCTGAAGGATTGAACTGACAACACAAAGTAAATGTTTACCTCAATGATTTAAAAATGTATTGTTATTGTTCTGTTTCTGTCTATATTGTATATACATTTTATTTTCATGGAGAAATGCTAAATAAATGTACTGTACATCTCTAATTAACTGTATACATTTTTGTATTTCAGAAGAAATAGGCGGAGGCTCCTGCATTTTGCTCATAGCACTCTGCATCGTAACAGTGTTCCTTAGCATAGGTGGCACTGCCTTATACTGCACATTTGGAGACATAGATTCCTCCGTATGTAAAGATTTCGCTTCAAACATGGACTTCTACTACACTCAGGCAGTACAAGGAATGGAAGAATTAAGGCATTGGCTCTTTGTCACATAGTGGACCGAACGTTGTCTGGCAAGCTTATAGGGCTGCTTAATACCACTATAGCTTGAGTAAAACCATGATCGTGGATTACAATTTAACCTGCCGAACGAACTTCAATTGTATTTTCAAATCTTATAAAAGAAGAGTCTATAGCTGAATATTTTAAATGAATATATAAAAAAAAAGACTAAGTGGCTATAGTGGTGGGAAAACGGTACAGAGACATCCCACTAAACCTACCACCAGTCCACCTACTGTTTTTACAACCTGCGGCATTCAATTTTCTGGTCAACTTTGTTTCTATTGGGTATTTCAATGAAAAGCCTTCTATGGATAAGAAGTTCCAACGTGGAGGATTTCTGTGTACAACAGCGTATTGCGGCATTCAGTTTTAATGCAATAAGACTGTGTGTGTGTTCTGTAAACTTGGACTCTTAACTTATATATTTTTAATGCTGTTTTTATTTGTGTGTTCTGTCATTTTTAATTTCTATTCAGCTGTGGTCAGAGCACTGAAACAGAGTCTGCTTGTCATGACGTAAACCATGAGATTTCTAAACGTGTCACTTTTATGTTTGAATTAATGCACCATGCTTCCTTATATGTTCTGTGTTTTACTTTTTTTAGTGTTACTTTGCAGTATGACAACACTGAAGCAACCTATGAAGGAAACTTCCATTTAGCCAAGCATGCTGGTCCATGGTGTAATTGAAAAAATCCCCCTATTGTTTTCTCAGATGTCATAGATGTTAAAGGCTTATTCCACCCAATGCAAAAAGAGTTGTTCACGGATTCATATGGGTTAGGTAACCTGGGGAGTAATAAATACCTGTAAAAGCTGCCCTCTTGTTCACTTCTGCTGCTTACAAGTTCTAATGGGGCTGACTTCTACGCTCTCTGTGATATGAGGCAGACTGCAAATTTCCTTGAAGTCTATGCCATGTTACGCAGCAAGGCAGAAAAATAATGAATTTATATAGTGCTGACATATTCCATAGCTCTTTATAGAGAACAGGGGATCTTTTACACCAGTATGTGTCCTTGAAGGTGTTTACAGTCTGATTTGGAGACAAAAACAATCTAGGGCCAGTTTAATTGGACGCCAATATATTTTCGTATTGTAAGAGAAAATCTGAGCAAACAGGCAGACCATACAAATTCCTGCAAGTTTGTAGTCCTGGTCACTAAATGACTGTCGACACTGAAAGCCCTTTAAAACGTGTGGATATGCATGCATTGGCCACTTTATGTACACATGTTACAATATGGTTTAGGCAAGGTGCTTGAACTGTTCATGGTGCGAATCTCCAGCTCCATTGAATCCCAGTTTCAGATTTGTCAGACAAGCAAACTTTTTTTAAAAATTTTAAATGATCTTTAGCTGTCACGTTTTGGTGCCTAGTGTAGCTTCATTTTCCTTTTCAAGGCTAACATTAGTGGCAGCCATTATGGCCCTCCCATCTCGGCCCCTTCTCTTTAAAGTATATATACAGGCAAAGCTCTTTTATCATTTTGGATAGAGTAGTGGAGGGTTATAACTGTGGAGGGTCACTGTCCGTTTTTTTGCCCATCTGTGTCATTAAAAGATATTCCGTTGCTTTGTTTCTTAAAGACTCAAAAGGAAGTGAGAGGATATGGTTCCAATGTGAGGGATATCTTCACCTCTTAGTTGTCACAAATCTCCCTATTGGAAGAGTTGCTCTTCATTCCTGTTCTGCTGCCAACTCCAAATGATACATTTACACTCACTTTCATTCCTGGTGACATTGGTGATCAGGATAATTGGAGAGAGTGGATCTCCCTAACGGGGAAGAAGAACCTGGCAGTGATTCTAAACTCCTCACCACTCTATCCAAATAAAAAAAAAAAAAGTTTGCCTTTAGTTACATCTTAAGGTTGAACGAATTGTCCATTAAGAGATGCCCTTCTACATACAACCTTTGTAAAGATTGTTTGAGCAGTTGTGAAGCCTTATCCGCTTCACCGAGTTTGGTCATTCTCATCTCATGAATAAGGTGTTTTTGCCCTCAGAACTGCTTACTATATGTTTTTTTGCAATATTCTCTTCAAAGCAAACCTGTATCTAGGCCAACAACTGATGAGGCATGGGGGGTCTCATCTGAACACACCATAGGGTTGCATATAACATTCAGTATATGTAATACTACAGAAGGCTATCGGGCTACAGATTTATTCCAGGAGATTGTTAGAGACTGCATGCTACAGGTGTTGAAAACTGGAGAAATGCTACAGGAGAGTCAGAGACTGATTGGCATGTTACATGAGACTGTTACAGATCATTGTCATCACAGCCCCCTTACAGATCAGCACTCCCACTCCCAGTTCTGGGGTCTGCAAAGGGCCACATGTGGCCTTCAGGCCGCAGGTTGGGCACTATAACTCCAAACTCTGTTTCAAGGATAGCAATGTGCAGCCCCAAATGTTTTCCATTGTGAACTCTGCATAGGATTGTTACAGCACCATGGGGTCCTCCATTTTGGATTTCTCTGAGAGAGTTATGTTTGCGGTATCATAGTAAACACTGCTGGAGATGATCATTTGGGCTCCTATGGCTGTATCTGCACAGTATGTCAGGACGATCGAGAGACGAGAAGGAAACTGATATAAAAAGGCTTCATCGTCACAGATGTGCAACTGGGGCAGGGCAGTCTGGTTGACAAACTTGAAACCAATTTGCTTGGTTTTGAAGGTGTAAATAGAACTTCTTGACAGTACCTTTTAGTGATTGGAGGCAGGGAGAGCTTGTTTTAAAGGTATTGATATACTTAGTATAAAAAGGTAAATTCCATGTCCATAACCTGGACACAGGTTCACTTTAAACTCCAAAGAAACTCTATATGTGAATATCCCAAAAGGATCATTCTTATATGATACAATACCACCATGCCTGACTTCAACAATCATCCCACTGTTAGAGTATACTGTATATTCTCCATTCTAATGTTTGCTGGAATATCAGCTGAACGGATTACCCATATTTGCATTTCTTAGAATGTATATTGCATTGCAGCCTCATGGTCACTACTTGGCTACTGTATTTGCATTAGGTAGCAGGTGTTCCTAATAAAGTTATAACTGAATGTAAATAAAGGGGTGACCCTCCTTTGTGACCTATGATAAGTGTTCTCCCCCACCACCCTTTCACTTTTCATTCAGCTGTACACTCCTTTATGTCCTCTATACCCCGGCCTCACTGTCCTACATTCATACATGCTTTACCCTCCTACATGCCACCCAGCCTCACCCTCCTACATGACCCCCACCCTTCTCATTAAGCCTAATGCATTACTACCTATATACGAGAGAGGAAGGCATTTATTTAACCCCTTGCTATCAACTCTCAGCGGCCAATTAAAGCAGGGCTTGCCAAATCCCAGGAGCCCTGTAGCCAATGCTCTTTAAAAATTACAGCTGGTAACTTTTGAGGCATTCTCTAGTTGTCAATAGAGCTGGTTTCAAAAAAATTCTGCTGTCTTCTGGATTAGACAGACTGGCTCCTGAAATCCATATTAATTTGTCCACCCCTGTTGTAAGGTAATCCTAATGCTAGGAGTTGGTAATGGCTTTCCTGATCATGTGCTTACTATGCTTGTCGGTAGGTAGTCCCACTGGCTTCCAAACAGTGACCAATGAGCACACTCCCAGCACAGAGTAGCAGAGCCTGCTGATGCGTATATACGGGGGCTTGGCATTAGGGCCCACCGAATGTGCTGCCACATATATGCGTCACAGTGGCGGGAACAGATTTAATTACTGATACATGTGGCGTGAAAAAAATAAAGCAGTGCATTGTTGGATCTAGAAAGCCTTAAACTATTGTTTTCCAGAGCAATCATTGCTGGCAATATTTCCTCTGGACTTGGTTGTATTGGCTGGCCCAGTACATTTTAATGATTAAATATATTTATTTTGTTTGATCATTTTAAAGGGAATGCACATCTCTTTTGAAGCATTGAAGCATGACAAAATGATCTGTTTGATTTTTATGTTCTTCTTCTTTTTTTTTTTTTTTTTTTGTGGTTGTGATCATTTGCAGTAAAATTTCAAAATGTTTTCACCCTCCCATTTGAATGGTTTCAGGAAAAGGCTGAATTCTATTAGTGCTCCATAATGGAGTACATCCAATGGGACATTTATTCAAAGTGACACGATAGTACTGTAAAATGGAAGCAATTATGGACAAAGATTTAGAAGAGAAAGTATTTTAAAATGAATATACTGTATAAGGAGAACATAGTTGTACAAAGTTTGTGCCATTACAAGCCGGAACTCTGCATTATGATACCTGTCTATATAGTCAGCCAGGAGTGCATGAATGATGAACATTTCATAGTAACAGGTACTGTAAAGCTGGCCATACACCAGTAGACATTTTTTCTTTCTGTTTTCGGAATATTTTTTAGATTTTTTAATAGTTAGTGGGGTCTAATTGACATTTGTTTTAGGGCTTGTTCACACCATGTCCAGACCAGAACAGTTTGTTCCTGGACGAAAAAAGCTTTCCAATGTACCCTTATGGTATTTCTGGGTTCTGTTCACACCAGCACAGTCCGTTCTGGTCCAGACAAAAAATAAAATACTGCTCGTCTCATGTTCTCTGATCTGGAACGCATGGAAACCCATCAAAAATGCATACAAAGGCATGCAAATGCACTGGACTGCACCTGATCATCTATTTTAAGATTTAAAAAAAGGCACCGAAACGCAGCAAAATCGGAATGAAATCTCAGCAAAAACGCACTGCGTTTACAGTTCTGGTCCAGACATGGTGTGAACATAGCCTAAGATCGTATTGATGAGGAAAATCAAAGGGGCAGGATTACATTTTCTTCTAATTTTCTCAGCAGATCGAACTAAATTCTAGGCAGCAAGGAAACCGGTTTAATACGTCTGAGATTCCATTCAAGTAGCTGGTCCGGACAAAATTTTGAAGGGCTTTCTAATAACATGTGTTGACTCGATGGCAAGATCAAATGTCCTGGTGAATTATTTTGAATGATTATTCATAAGAAATTCTAACAGTGTATGGCCGGCTTTACACTTGAAGCTCTCCTACAACTACCTAAATGTTATTTCCAGTCTTTGGAAAAATCTAGCTATAGAACCATGAACTCTATTGGCCACCATTTTATTTTTTTTCAATAATGGGATTTCTGATCACTTTGTAATATCAGCTGTAGTGAGACTGACAGTATGCTGAGTGAGTGTTGTCATACACGGACAGAAGTGGGTTAATGGCAGAATCACCAGCTGAAAATGAAGGAAAAAACCTAAATAGAGAAAGCTAATGGAGCCACCCCATCTAAGGACTAGTGAGCTGCAGTATATTCCATTTCTGGTTTTGGATAAGCCTTTAATCGAAGGTCATTTTCACATTAAAACTGCTCCTTCTATAAAGCAGTGTTAAACTCTTAAACATTTTTTCAATAATGAATCCACATCAAACAAATATACATTGGCCAGCTACTTATTTCTTTAATTTTTTTGCCCAACCACACTGTTCGAATTCTGGCCTGCGTTTGAGGAACCGGACGAAATATGCAGTGTGTGCCACTGTCGGCACCCTTTTGATCGGCATCCCTTGATCAGCTGATCGAAGGAGCTGGTCGGAAAATCTTTCATCGATCAGAGCCGACAGCCAGTGAGCTGCCCGCTCTGGTCGGGTATTCTGACGGGCCGGCAATC